AAACATTGACCTGACACGAGAAATCGATGCGTTGGGGCGTTCAGGTGGTTGGGCAACACTTGAGTGCCTCCTGCAGCCTCGAAGGTGATTTGTGTTTGGATGGTAACTATTTATGAGACTTGGACGCTGCGAGCATGTAAGCACTGTTGTTTTCGAAGAAACACCTTCTTGTGCGAAACTATCTTCACTTGTCGCCAAATATCGGTTTACTGCAAGTGTCATCAAGCGCTAAATATTCTAATGTTTCTCACACTAGGGCAATTCAGTTTGCATTCTAGACATTAAATGCAGTAAAAGTGTGATGACCCCTGAGGTTTCATTTGCATGTTTGTCGATAATTGGTGCGTCTGTATTTCCTCTAGGCAGATTAAAAGCCATCATGTCTACGGCTTTGCTAGAAGACCGTACGGAATTTGTGCAATTCTTGATCGACCTAGAATTGGTTAAAATGCAAACCTATCTGGACATGCACACCCTTAACTGGCTGTACAACAACGTGGAGGATGCGTCCATTTTGAAGACGACTCTAAACTACTACGGAGTCATCATGAAGAAGGGGTCGCCGAGTCTTATCGGGACTGCACTCGTGGCCACCACGGCCAATGTCCTGTCCATGGACACGGAGACGGCTGGCGAGGCTAACAGAGTGCTCGAAATGCTTTTCCAACGAGGTCCTGAACGAGATAAAGGAGATTGGACGAATTTGCCGACGATCAGCGAACTCTTGTTGAAGATGCTTGGGTCATTTAGTAGCCCCTACTACGAAGACATCATGGTGAGCGACATCATCTAATTGGTAGCTGCTTTCAGTTCGATTCAGACGCACAACATATATGTATTAACGGGATATGCATTTATGGCTCTAAATTAACATCAGGTGTCGTCACTTAATGCCGTTGTGTAGCAGGCAGTAGTCCTTGTCAATTTGGCGAAATCGATAATGTCAAAATTATTTCACGAGTGTATGAAATTGTCTCGCTATCATTTGTCGCATTCGGTCGACGTGTTTTAATTTAAGCAATGTTCAGGTGATGAAGTGTGGTGTTTTGACTGTTGTAGCCATTTAACCGGGAGCGTCTATTTCCGGAGCCCTTCCAGGTAAACATTCCCTTGTCTCCTCCTTCCTTTTTTTCGTAAATCAAATTACTTTAATCGCCACGTAAAAAGTTGTCATGCCTAAACTCTGTTGGTAGATGATTTGCAGTTTTTAGAATGACTGATAACAGCGACTTCTCCATGTTGCTCGTTGTAAACTTGGAGGACACAGTTTAGTGGTAACACGTCATGCTACCCTTTACAGGAGTTGTTTATCTGGGCGGTCCTCAACAACCGGAACGCACTGGCTATGCTATTTTGGCGGTACGCTGATGATGCGGTGCCGCTCGGCCTGATTGGCTGCAATCTTTACCATAGGATGGCGCGAGCTTTGCCGTCCTATGACACAGAGGGACGGGTTATGCTGGCCAATCAGAAAAGTTACCTTGAACAGACATCCAAGGAAATGATCGAACTGTGCTACTCAAAGTCAAATGTAAGTGGCTCC